AGCTAGAACCTTTAGACCTGAGCTGAGAATGAACTGAGTTAGCATGAGTTAGCTGTAGCCGCTCTGGTTCCCTGTCCTGAAGTCAGTGTGTGTTTGGTTGATGTCTGAAATAAGATCTAGAAATACCTTGTTGTGTTATAATCTTTAAACTCTTCTAACTCAAACTTTGCAACTTAGATTAGATTTTAGTTTCATATATAAATTGGAAGTTTGGTGCTGAAGTCATGTGACCGTGGTGTAGTTCATTTATAGTTAGCTATAATATATATATATATATATATATAACGTTAGCTATTTACTTCTGGAGCTCGCCTTCAGAAATCATTAAAAGGTGAGTTTGTTAGTGAAGATTATCTCACTGAATCATCATAAACTAGAACCCAGTGGAACAATCCCATCTGCTGTTTGTGGAAGGAACCAGGACGACGCTAACTTCACCCCCGCAGCCCGCTGTGGAACCGTGTTTCTTCTTCTGTGTTGTATTGTTGTAGACTCGCTGTTAGTTCAGCAGCTCCATCAGATCAGTCTAATGTGTGTCTCTGTCTCTCAGTAGGTAACCAGCTAGCAGCCATGGGGCATCAAAGGTACGAGCAGCACTTCATATTGATTAAACACAGATAATGACGTGTGTTCAGCATCATAGTTTGCAAATGTGTGTGTGTGTGTGTGTGTGTGTGTGTGTGTGTGTGCGGGCTGTAACCGTAGATAAGTGTTTATAGATCGGTGCTCCTACAGTCATAATCATAATCACTTATTGACACACACACACGCTGTGAGCGGGATGTTAATGTGTGTTTCTGTGTGTGTGTTGCAGCAGGGTAATCACAGAGGATTACAAGGTCCCTGACAGGATGGTTGGCTTCAGTGAGTATGACCTCCGACCTTTCTGTCCTTCCTGCTGCTCAGGTGTCTGAAGGCTCCGTCGTCCAATCAGATTCTAGTTGTTAAGAGCAGCTGATCTGAAGCCTGGACCAACATCACAGTCTCCCTTTATCTTAATACTGATCAGTCAGTTCTGTTTAGTGGACAAATATGTAACACACCACATTTATAGCATAAGATAATCTGCATATCCTGTCTCCAGATTGTTTTTTATAATACATAAAACCCAACAAATACATGAGAGACAGAACAAAGCTGACCTAGAACCTTTTACTTGAGCTAGAACCTTCCACCTGACTAACAACCTTTAAAGCAACCTTGAACCTTTTAGGCTGATTGAGATCTGTAACCTGACTTAAATCTTTCCAAGTGAGCTAGAACCTTTGATCTCATCTTTCCACATGATGTAGAACCTTTAACCTGAGCCAGAATCCTTTTTATGAGACTAAAACTGGAACCTCGAGGTGATCGGAAACCTTTCTTATACTGATATACAACCTTTATCCGGAGCCAGAATCCATTAATCTAACCAAACCTTCCACTTTACCTCGAGCCCAGAGTCCACCTGATGGATAGTAAAATGTTGATCCACAACCAGAGATTAATCTCTCTCCTCTCCTCCTGCCCCAGTTATTGGAAGAGGAGGTGAACAGATCACCAGGATCCAGTTGGAGTCCGGCTGCAAGATCCAGATTGCTTCTGGTGAGACTGACTGTATGTCTACATGCGTCTCCTCTAAAGTCTTCAACTGTATGTTTCACTCCTCGTTTGTGGACGCCACGTTCCACTTCTGCTCTTCGTATCTTCAAACAGCGGCTTCAGTTGAATGACTGCTGCTCCTCCTCCTCCTCCTCCTCATCCTTTCTGATTATATGACATTGTGTGTGTGTGTGTGTGTGTGTGCAGACAGTGGAGGTCTGATGGAGCGGCCATGTTCCCTGACTGGAACTCCAGAGAGCATCGAGTAAGTTTCTAAACCTCATCTTCACCTCCTCTGACGACGTCACCTCCACCTCCTGCTCACCTCCTCTCTCTCTCTCTGTGTGTGTGTGTGTGTGTGTGTTTGCAGGCAGGCGAAGAGGCTGCTGGTCCAGATCGTGGATCGCTGTAGAAACGGTCCCGGTTTCCACGGCGACGGGGAAGGCGGCGCCTCTGTGCAGGAGATGCTGATCCCGGCCAGCAAGGTGGGGCTGGTGATTGGCCGAGGTGGAGACACCATCAAACAGCTGCAGGTAGAGTGATTGACAGGTGAACTGTGGGCGATAAACCACGAGGACTCTTCCTTCAGTGTCTCTGATGTTTGTTTGTTGTTGTGTGTTGTTGTGTGTCAGGAGAGAGCGGGCGTGAAGATGATGATGATCCAGGACGGTCCGATGCCGACGGGAGCCGACAAACCTCTCCGCATCTCTGGAGACCCGTACAAAGTGCAGGTACACACATCGTTCAGTCGCACTCGTTTTATGGGAAAAGTTAGTACTGATCACTGATTTTCTTTCATATCCTTTAGTTTGCTGCCACTATGGACATGAAATAAGTGTTAAATTTAAACTGCTGAAACTGTAGAAACACATGAAGCTAATGTCTGTCATACTTACCGTTCACCTCTCCTCCTTCAGGCGGCCAGGGAGTTGGTGTTGGAGGTGATCCGGGAGAAGGACGGAGACTTCAGGTCAGGACGCAGCGACTTCAGCGCCCGACTGGGAGGAGCCAACTTGGATGTACGACACGCACAATGAAACGCACTTTAATAGCATGTGTTAGCAGCTAGTATGTCTGAGCGTCCACTGGATCACCATTTAAAAGGTACATTCATGTCTAGTCTGTCCCTCTGCAGGTTCCAGTTCCCCGGTTTGCTGTAGGCATCGTGATCGGCAGGAACGGAGAAATGATCAAGAAGATCCAGAATGATGCAGGAGTCCGAATCCAGTTTAAAGCAGGTCCGTTTACACCAGTAAATCCAGATAATGCCGGTCTGTTTACACCACTGTGATCCTGCTCAAACTGTTTATAATCTAAAACTATAATTACATCAATATAAACCAGATTAAATCGGATCTGTTTACACCAGTTTAATCCACTTTAGAACTAGTCCTAGTATGATCCAGATTACAGGGTGTTGACCTCTGACCTCTCTGTGTCTCCTCCAGATGATGGCATCAGTCCAGAGCGTGTTGCCATGGTGATGGGTCAGCCAGACCGCTGTCAGCATGCTGTCCACCTCATCAATGAGCTCATCCAGACCGCACAGGTAACACACTCACACACACACAGACAGGTAACACACACAGACACACGCACAGACACTCTGATGTTGTTCACAGATACACTCTTTATTGTGTGTGTGTGTGTTTTCGTAGGAGCGTGACGGTTTTGGCTCGGCCCTGCGGAGCGGCAGGGTCAGAGGTCGTGGTGATTGGACTATGGGCTCTCCCGGTCCGCTACAGGAAGTGACCTACACCATCCCTGCTGATAAATGTGGCCTGGTCATCGGCAAAGGTAGGAGAAGAAATCTGTCCGTCACCTTTTATTCAGTGGGATCATAAAACGTACTCACTCCCTCGTCTGTGTGTTTGTTCGACTGCAACATGAATCTGCTGCTTCGTCCATTGTGTCCTGATGTGTTTGTGAACATTAAACTGTGACAGCAGCCAAAAACTCTAATCATCTCTCTGACGACCTGTCGCTGAATCAGCTTCATTGGAGTTTGATTCTCAGTATTTGTACTGCTCTTAATGTTCGTACACAGGAATAAACAATATATGAATAAACACAGCAGAGGATCAGTAGATTTATTCAAATCTGCTCGAATTGTATCTACTCAAGACATTTTCTAATAAAATAAAAGTATTTAATGTTTAGTGTTTATAATGTGGTCGTACAGCTGATCGTGTCCTCATTAATGAAGAGCTCTAAACACAATCTACAGCTGAGAACTCCCCTCAAGATCGAGGATGAGAGCTCCATCAGCGCCATTCACTCTATAAAAACCCCTGAAAGACATCAACCATTCACCAGTGTGTGTGTGTGTGTGTGTGTGTGCGTGCGTGTGCGCGTGAGGTCAAGAGGGTTGAGCAGCAGCTTCCAAAATAAAAGCAGCGGAAAAAAGAAATGTCAAGTACCCGATGTTTAGACACCATATGGTGTGTGTGTGTGTGTGTGTGTGTTGTGTGTGTGTGTGTGTCTG